TTAGAAAACATACATGGTATGAATTTAATTTTTAACTTGTTGAGATTTGTTTTGTGGCTTAATTTTTTTTTAAAGATTTATTTATTTGAAAGAGCGAGAGAGAGCATGAGAGCTTCCATCTGCTGGTTCACACCTCAAGTGACAGCAATGGCTGGAGCTGGGCTGATCCAAAGCCAGGAGCCAGGAACTTCCTCCTGGGTGCAGGGGCCAAGGACTGGGCCATCCTCAGCTGCTTTCCCAGGCGCATTAGGAGAGAGCTGAATCGTAAGTGGAGCAGCTGGAACACAAATTGGTGCCCATGTGGGATTACCATCACTGCAGCCAGCAGCTTTACCCTCTATGTCATAGCACTGGCCCCATCTTAATATATTTTCTATCCTTGAGACTGTTTCAAGAGCTGATGAAATGATGTATATTCAGGATGAATTGTTTTATAAATGTCTTTTGGGCCAGCACTGTGGTATAGTGGATTAAGCCACGGCCTGCAGTGCCGGCATCCTACATGGGTACTGGTTCAAGTCCTGGCTGCTCCACTTCCCATTCAGCTCCCTGCTAATGCACCTGGGAAAGCAGCAGATGAGGGCTCAAGTCCTTCGGTCCCTATACCCACATGGGAATCCTGGAGGAAGTCCTGGCTCTTGGCTTTGGCCCTACCCAGCCCCAGTTGTTGCAGCCATTTAGGAAGTGGACCAGCGGATGGAAAATCTCTCTGTGTCCTTCTCTCTCTAACTCTGCCTTGCAAATAAATAAATAAATCTTTTTTTAAAAAGCTCTGTTAGGTTCTTTTCATCTATAGTATAGTTTAACCCTGATGTTTCTTTGTTGGTTATATTTCTAGGTGATCTATCCATTGAAGAAAGTGTGGTATTGAAATCTTCCACTATTATCGTGTTGGAGCTGATCTCTCCACTTAGTTGTACTAATGCTTATTTTATAAAATGGGTTGTTCTAGCATTAGGTGCTTGTGTGTTTATAATCATTATGTCTTCATGTTGAATTGGTCCTGGGATCATTATGTAGTGGCCATCTTTGTACCTTACAGTTTTTGTCTTATTTTTTGTCTGATATAAGTATAGCTAGCCCTGCCCACTTTTGGTTCCCTTTTGCTTGGAATATCATTTTCCATCCTTTGACTTTCAGTCTGTGCTTTTCTGTACTGTACTGGAGAAGTGAGTTTCCTGTAGGCAGCATATTGTTGGGTCTTGTTTTTGTATCCATTCAGGATGTCTGTACCTTTTAATTGAAGAATTCAGTCCTTTTACATTCAAGGTTATTTAAAAGTAATGACTTTATCATTTAAAATTTTTCTTCTGTTTGTTTTGCCTATCCTATGTTATTCCTTTTTTATTGTTCATTTTTGTGGTTGGCAGTTTGCTATATTGATTAGATCTGGTTCTTTTGTATTTCCTTTGTGTAAATGCTCTTCTACTGGGTTTTTTACTTTCACATTTATTTTATTATTTATTTAAATTTATTTATTTGAGAGTCAGAGTTGGAGGGAGAGACGGAGATCTTCCATCTGCTGGCTCACTCCCCAAATGACCGCAACAGCCAGGACTGACCAAGGCTGAAGCCAGGAACCAGGAGCTTCCTCCAGATCTCCCACATGGGTTGCAGGGAACCAAGCACTTGGTGCATCCTCCAGTGCTTTTCCTAGACCATTAGCAGAGAGTTGAATTGGAAGTAGAACAGTAAGGACATGACTGGCACCCACATGGGATGTCAGCATTGCAGGCAGCGGATTTACCCACTATACTACAATGCTGGCCCTCATACATTCATTTATTTTCATGATCTGGTTCTTTGCCTCTTATAAGGCTGGTGAGGTAGTAAGTTTCCTCAATTTTTTGCCATCATGGAATGTCTTTAATTTCTTCTTCATTTATGAAGGATAGCTTTGCTGGTTACAGTATTCTTGGTTGGCAGGTATTTTTCTTTTGTAACTTGAAGTATATCATCCCATTCCTTCCTAGCCTATAAAGTTTCTGCTGAAAATATACTGTTAATCTAATTGGGGCTCCCTTAAATATTTATTGGTGCTTTTCTTATGCTGATTTTAGGATTATTTTTGTCTTGTGCTTTTGAGAGCTTGACTATAATGTATCATGGTAAGGATCTTTTCTGATCATCTCTTTCATTGGGCCTCCTGTACTTGAATATCCATATCTTTCTGAGGACTGAGGACATTTTCAGCCATTATTTCATTGCATCCGTTTTTTTATTCTTTTACTCCTTTGTACTCTTTGAAAGATCCCCATGATTCAAATATTTCTTCATTTATTGGCATCCTAAAAAGTCTAGGAGTCTGTTTTCTTCTCTTCCTCCTCCCTCTACTTGTTCTTCTCTTCCTCCTCTTTCTGCCCCTCCTCCTGTGTTTTCCCTTTTGACTGGAATGTTTTATAATCTATCTTCAAATTCAGATATTCTTTTTTCTGCTTGATCTAATCTGTATTTATTTTTGAGTTCTTTATTTTCAAGATCTCTGATTTGTGCTTTTAAGATTTATTTGGGGCTGGTGTTGTGGCACAGAAGGTTAAGCCTTCACCTGCAATTTTGGGATCCCATATGGGTGCCAGTTCAAGTCCACTTTCGATCCAGCTGCTCCACTTTTGATCCAGCTCCCTGCTAATGTGCCTGGGAAGGCAATAGAAAATGATGGTCCACGTCCTTGGGCTCCTGTACCTATGTGGAGACCCAAAAGAAGCTCCTGGTTCCTAGCATTGGCCTGGTTCTGCCCTGACCATTGCCATTGGGGAATGAAGCAGTGGATGGAAGATCTGTTTCTCCCTCTCCCTCTGTATCTCTGCCTTTCAGATAAATAAATATTTTTAAAAAGATTTCAAAAAATCTTATTTAAATCTTATTTAAATAAAAAATTTTATTTTAAAGGCAAAGTTATTCAGAGAGAAAGAGAGAGAGAGAGTGAGAGACAGAGAGATCTTCCATATGATGGTTCACTCCCCAAGTGGCTACAATGGCTGGGGCTGGGCCAGGCTAAAGCCAGGAGCCAGAAACTCCATCCTGGTCTCCCATGTGGGTGGCAGGAGCCCAAGTTGTTGGACCATCTTCCTCTGCTTTCCCAGATGCATTAGCAAGTAGCTGGATCAGAAGTGGAGCAGCTGGTACTCAAACTGGTGCTCACATGGCATGCTGGCATTGGAGGGGTGGCTTAACCTGCTGTGCCACAATCTGGTCCCCAAGTTAGTTGTTTTACATGATATCTGTCTCTTTGCCAAATTTCTCTTTTGTTTCATGAATTATTTTCCTAATTCCATTAAACTGTATTCTCTTGTATCTCTGTGAATATTATAATCATTCTTTTAGTTCTTTATTAAGCATCTCATCAATCTCCTTTTCTTTGGTGACTATTACTAAAGCATTTTTACGTTCCTTACAACTAGGATTGCTAGCATAACGTGTCCATGGAAATGACTCTACTGAAGCTCTTCTGTTTACCTATTCTCCTGCAATGGAGATTCTGTTCCCTGGCCATGGGACTGGGGTCTCAATTGCCAGTTAACTGTGGGGCCCAAGGACCTGGGCCATCTTCTACTGCTTTCCCAGGCCATAGCAGAGAGCTGGATAGGAAGTGGAGCAGCCAGGACTCGAATCAGCACCCACATGGGATGCCAGTGCTTCAGGCCAGGGTGTTAACCCGCTGCGCCACAGCGCCGGCCCCCACATGGTACCGTTTGTATAAGGACACCAGTTATAGCTGATCAAGTGTTTACCCTACTCTAACATAATCTTTTCTGAACAAAATACATCTTTAATAACCCTATTTCCAAATAGTTATTTCTGAGGTGCTAGGCATTAAGGCTCAACATACCTTTTTAAAAAGGGACAGAATTCAAGCCATACAGATTTTATGCCTTAAAGACTTCAAAATCTTAAGTCTCAGGAAACTGAGAGGTCAGTGAGCTAGAGTAATCTGAAATGATTTCATGGAGGAGGTAGTATTTATTGTCTTGTGATCATACAGAACGTGTGAGGAGGTACTGAAACCTCATGTATTCCTGGTGGCTGCTTTTTTGCCCCAGACTGAGTGGTGGCCACAGCTCTGCAGAGAGGAATACTAGGTCATTTGGAGACCTTTTTCTTCTTTGGGGATTTAGAAATACGACTTACTTTGTTCTGGATGGAGTCTTGCTCATGCAGGTACATCTTCTAAATCCTGGACCTTAGAAAGTAGATTAGTTGGGGCTGGTGCTGTGGCACAGTGGGTTAACGTCCTGGCCTGCAGCGCCGGCATCCCATATGGGCGTCGGTTCAAGACCCGGCTGCTCTACTTCCAATCCAGCTCTCTGCTATGGCCTGGGAAAGCAGTAGAAGATGGCCCAAGTCCTTGGGCCCCTGCATTCGCGTGGGAGACCGGGAAGAAGCTCCGGGCTCCTGGCTTCGGATCTGCGCAGCTCCAGCCGTTGCATCCAATTGGGGAGTGAACCATTAGATGGAAGACCTCTCTCTCTCTCTCTCTCTCTCTCTCCCTCCCCCTCCCCCTCTCCCCACCCCCCCCCCCCGCCTCTGCCTCTGCCTCTCCTTCTCTCTCCGTGTAAGAAGGGGGTGCTCTTAGCTTTTTCAGCAAAAAAATAATTGATATTTTTTTTTAATAGCATAGTCTCATTCAAAGGATTCTATAAAAAGCAGATTACTGAAACAGCGGTCAAGCCTTTAATAAAGTTAGTAAAATCCTTTTACATATTCTTTTTTATCATGTCATGTATATAGCTTCCTGAAAAGTTTATTGTGAAATCACAACCAATCTAGAATCTCTTTTATTTAACAGGTGAAATGATTGAGTGTGTTCTGTTAATGGCTCATGTTGTGCTTACTTATGCAACCAGGTGCCTTTGAGGGACTAACAAGTTCTCTGCTTTCAACACTGGAAATAAATGCTCATCAGAGGGATTCGGTATTCATCAACACATGATCAACCTGTAGTGTAGAAATGTGGGACAGTGGGCCAACTGCAACTCTACAGACTCTTTTTCCTCTTCCAGAATCTTCTCCAGGTGTGACAGAGGTGACCATCATAGAAAAAGCACCAGCTGAACGTCATATGATTTCTTCATGGGAGCAAGTAAGTGTTGTAAAAATAGGAGAGCAAGACATGGAGGAGCCAGCACATGGAATTACAGCTAGAACGGGTTTCTTTACAAACCGAGAGGGGCTCACTCCCGGTAAATGCATGGCAGAGAGGTACCTGTGAACACACAGCAGCAAGGGCATGTCTGATATATCATAAAGAAGTTGGGAGGACTTGGAAGGGTCTGGGCTAAGGCTGAGCTTTTTTTTTTTTTTTTTTTTTTTTTTGGACAGGCAGAGTTAGAGAGAGAAAGGTCTTCCTTTCTGTTGGTTCACCCCCACAGTGGCCGCTACGGCCGGCACGCTGTGGCTGGCGCGTTGCGCCGATCCAAAGCCAGGAGCCAGGTGCCTCTTCCTGGTCTCCCATGCAGGTGCAGGGCCCAAGCACTTGGGCCATCCTCCACTGCCATCCCATCACTGCACTTGCCACAAAAGAGAGCTGGACTGGAAGAGGAGCAATCGGGACAGAACCCACACCTCAACTGGGACTAGAACCCGGGGTGCCAGCGCCACAGGCAGAATAGCCAAGTGAGCCGCAGCGCCGGCTTTTTTTTTTTTTTTTTTTTTTTTTTTTTTTTTTAAGGCTGAGCTTTTGAGATAGTTGGGAGAGCTTGGGGTAGTGGCTGATCCCTCAATAGAGTGGTGTGGCTTGGGAAGATTTGGACTAAGTCTGAACTCTTAAGGTAATGGGGAGAGCTTGGGCTAATGGCTGTACTCTTAAGATAGTGGTGTGGCCAACAGTCAAGGCAGGGCACTGCTGAGCCAGCTGAAGAAGAATGCAAGGAATTGGGTGCCTGCTCCCAGTCTCACAGAGGAGAGGCCAAAATAGATCCAAGGCTTTTGTCCTTGCTCCATCAGTCCTGATGGAAGGGAGACAGGGTGCTGGTTTCTTTCTGGCTACTCTGCTGAAGTGGGCTGCTGATGCAAGGCAGAATGTCTGTACTCTGGATTGGGTTGATGAGAGAAGGAAAGCAATCTTTTGATGTTCCTGCATGATGGCTTAGGCACAGTAACTATCCGTTCTTGTAGAAACTTTTGAAATATTTTAATTATACATGGTAGGACTAAAAGCACTATGACTGTGAGGAAGAAAGGTGATAGCAAAGATATCAACCATGGTGGGAAAGGTCCCCACAACCAAAACAATAAGGTGGGGCTATTTTGGGAATAAATTTCATTAGCATGTTTTTGTATGCATTTGATTGCTTCTGTTACCACGTCTGACTTAACTGGTGTAGAAATGCACTCTTTACCCAAAAAGAGGCAAGTCTTCCTTTTTCAGTGGTGAGGAGATCCGTAGTCCCTGGCAGTTTTGAAGGATCGCTGCTGCCATGGAATCTACCTGGTCTTGGAGGTGAGGTAATTGTTGTGCTAGGTCATTTATGTCTTTTTTGAGAGTGAGGGGTAAGTCTTCGATTTTATTTGTTGCATCTACTGAAATTGCCAGTCTGACTGCTTCTGTCCTAATTGTTGCCAGGACACCTAACAAGATTAGCAAGAGGGTAAGTCTAAAATCTTCCTTGACACAGTGGGTTAGGGGGATGGAAAATAAAGAGTGGTCTAGAGTGTAGGCCAGGTTTGCTCTATCTCATGCCTCCTTGCCAGCATGTACACACTAAACAAAACAGAAGCATTCTTTCTCTGCAGCAACCAGGCATATATCTGTCCTCCCCATAACCGGACAGGGGCTCACACTCTTGCTTTCCTATTTCCCCTAGCATGTTTTTGTATGTATTTGATTGCTTCTGTTATCACGTCTGACTCACCTCCAAGACCAGGTAGATTCCATGGCAGCAGCAATCCTTCAAAACTGCCAGGGACTACAGATCTCACCACTGAAAAAGGAAGACTTGCCTCTTTTTGGGTAAAGAGTGCATTTCTACCCCAGTTAAGTCAGACGTGGTAACAGAAGCCTTCAAATGCATACAAAAACATGCTAATGAAATAGGAAAGCAAGAGTGTAAGCCCTTGTCCAGTTAGTGGGAGGACAGATATATGCCTGGTTGCTGCAGAGAAAGAATGCTTCTGTTTTGTTTAGTGTGTACATGCTGGCAAGGAGGCATGAGATAGAGCAAACCTGGCCTGCTTCTAGCCCATGGCTCCCTCATTCCCTTCTTCTGCTTTTGGAAACCATGGCTGCTAGCCAGGGTTAGGGCAATTCCAGTCTGACTTCTTCAAGCTGAGCAGGGGTGAAGTAGGAACCTGTGGTCAAACAGGGTTCCAGTAGAAGGTGGGCTCTCGAGGAGGCCACAGTGCCAGCTTACAGAAACTGTTTCCATCTGAGGTTTCATGTGCATGGCCATCTAGAATTTAATTGCTACAAGTTGGAGGAAACAGATCTAACAAGCAGATTAAATATGCAGGGTCTGAAACAAAGGACAGGATCATTATTAGAGAACCTAGGAAAGTCTCTTTCCAAGCCAGGAGGAGGTTTTCCCATTGAAAGGCAAATAGAAACAGACAGGAGGGTTTCTTGATGATCAGATGGGTGGTAAGGCCTGGTCAGGTTTATTTGAGACCCAGACCTATGTATCTCTTCACATGGGATGTTGGAAAAGATGTTACAAGGGAGATGTGAACGTCATTAGGGAAGACACCTTGTTGACTACCATTACCTGGCTGGCCTGGAAGGAGAGAGAGCCTGAAGAGGTTATTATAGAATAGGAGGCTTCTCTAAAAGGTAACTTCCATTCATGCCTGCAGTGTTACTGACCCTAGGCTGTCCCCTCAATAGCGATGGTTACTATGAAAGCTGGGCGGAATTAAGGGCTTTTGAGCTTAGAGCCTTCAGGGTCTGCAGTTCTGACTTTGGAGTCCTTCTGACTCAGGGCAGTTCTGTTTCCATTGACCCAGCTCTTGGCAGAGCTGACAGGGCTCTTGGAAGCTTCTTTGTCTCCCTTATATGATTACATTCATACATTTGGTGGGATATTCCAATGTTACATGGTAGCTATAGGAATTGATAGAATACTGCACATGCATACATAGTTGCTGATGATGTTTAACTAGATTTTCTCAATACACTTAATGTTTCTTCCACACGCATACTGAGCTATACTCTGTCTGGCAAGGGTTAACACCATCACTCCATGCTGACAAGCAGAAGCTGGAACAGTTACAAATGAAACATTCACAGGCAAGCAGATTATGAGCACATTCAATTTTCAGGATAAGTTTTTTTTCCTCTTTCTCTTTTCTCACCTTGGGAAGGCCTCTACCACATTCCCCTCTTTGATGCTCAGACTCACTCAGGATCAGAGAGGATCATCCTGACCCAAGGACTTACATTTTTCACTCCCTGCAAGGAATATTCGGTGTGGTAGTTAGGGTGGTGGTGATACCCTGGCCTGATCAGGTCATGTGAATACCTGAGTCACAAGATAAGGGGCTCAGGTCCACAGAGGGGAGCCAGATTAGAAACAACCTGTTTCTAATCCTATCCACAAGAGCTTAAAAAAATTTTTTTTAATTAAAAAAAAAAAACAAACAAACTATGAACCTCTTAATGGAGTTTCAATCAGCCAGAGCAGTTGCCACCAATCCTTTTGTTAAAACTAAGGCTAAAACTAATAACAGAGAAATGAGGGATTACAATGCATTGTAAGAGAAAACCAATATAAAGGAAAAAAAGATTAGTCCATTTATTTTATCAGGCAGTCAGTTCTTTAATTTTTTGCTGTGCATGGATCCTTCAGCCCCCTGAGTGAATGAAGTAAGGCCATCATCCTCAGGAGTTTCACTGGGGCCACTGTCTGGTGATCTCTTCAGGGTTGGCCCACTAGTTTCAGATGCTCAGCTTAGACGGTGTCGCCAGATCTGAGATGCACTCCCAGTCACAGGTCTCAGCTTCACTGTGCTGTAGTGGATCCAGGGAGCTATTTTAGCCACCCTGACTGCAGTAGGGGTGGACAGAACAATACTAAACAGGCCTCTCCAAAGGGGCTTACGGGGCTGGACATTACATTCCCTTAACCATACTATATCTCCTGGCTTAAAACAGTGAGCTTCTGTGGTTAAGCTCACAGGCAGTCATTTCCTAACCCAGTGATTGATGGAGGTCACGGCCAAGCTGAGAGCCTGCATCTGTTGTCTAAAGGTGAGGCTGTCTATTTTAAATTTCCATGTACTCCCTTGACTTAAGGGGGAGGGTACCCATAAAGAATTTCAAAAGGAGAGAACCCTGCCTATGTAATAGGGCTACATTTATTCCTTAACAGTGCTATTAGTAACAGCTAGTCCCAGTGTGAGTGAGTCTCTTGACAGAGTACTTAATTGCATTTTTAATCTCTGGTTCATGTGTTTCACTTTTCCAGAATTCTGGGGCTGATAGGTGATTCCCAGTCCTCTTGACACCATCTGTACCACCTCTGCTACAAATGCAGCCTGTTGTGAGACTTGATAGTAATTGGAATTCCAAAGCATGGAGTGATTTCTTTTAGCAAAAGCCAGACCACCAATCGAGCCTTTTCAGTACAAATTGGGGAAGCCTCTACCCAACCCAAACATGGGGAAGTTCAATAAAGTCCACAAGTAAATGTTGTTTTTCTTTTTTTTTTTTTTTTTTTGAGAGTTAATTATTAGTTATTTGAAAGGTAGAGTTACAGAAAGAAGGAGAGAGAGAGAGAGAGAAAGGTCTTCCATCTGCTAGTTTATTCTCCATATAACCACAATGGCTAGAGCTGAGCAAATCCAAAGTCAGGAGCCGGGAGCTGCTTCTGGGCCTCCCACACAGGTGCAGGGACCCCAAGCACTTGGGCCATCTTCCTTTGCTTTCCCAGTCAATAGCAGAGAGCTATATCAGAAGAGTAGCCAAGAAATGAACTGATACTCATATGGGATGCTGGTGCCCCAGGTGGAAGCTTAGGCTACTGCACCACAGTGCCGGCCCCCACAGTTAAATTTTTTTTTTATTTTTTGACAGGCAGAGTGGACAGTGAGAGAGACAGAAAGGTCTTCCTTTGCCGTTGGTTCACCCTCCAATGGCCGCCGCGGCCG